TTTGATTTTTGTGATCTTTCTGTAATATTTTATAAACTTAGATCTCGATTTGTTTATTATAATAATTTTTCAACTTTAAAGGTTTTTGGATAATGTAAAGTTTGATCATTCTAATAATCAAATTATAACTTTTCTAAATATCTTTAAGTTGTTAAATTATTAATTATTGTATCATCAGAATTATCTGTAATCATTTCTGAATTATTTTATATTGAATTTTACATTCTAAACCTTTGTGATTGTAATGATTAAAAAGTACTAGTATTTTATCTACATATAATACTATGCATTAATACAATGAATCATTATCTGTTAAGTATTGATATACTTTAGTTGGAAAGAATAATGTGTATACTTCCTCACTTTCTTTTGAAATTCTCTCATTTATTATATTCTTCATCTCTTCTTCATCAATTATTTTATTCTTTTCATAAATAATACCATATTTTTGAATACAACTTTTTAAATCCATTTTAATAGTGTCATCTATACCAAATTTATCTAATAATTTATTATATTGTGTAATCATATTATTTAGACAACTTTAAGACATCCCATATTTATATAGACATTTTAAATATCTTAGTTTAATTTATTTAATTTACTTACGATGTATTTTTTAATATTTTGCATCTATTATTTTTACATTTTACATCAATTAACATTATTAATTTAAAACCTATTCCTTTAAGTATTTATTTTCTCTTTCTAATTCTTCTAGCCTACTAATAAATCTATTGAGTTAAATCTGTAAATCCTTAAGGTTTTAACTATCTTACATATTAATTTTAAATTATAACAATCATTTTTTATAATCAATCATTATTTTTTGTAGTAAAAAGTTTAAAATTTTTCAAAAGAACACCAATCCTCATCTTTTACTGATTATGCCATTGTCTAAAGATTATATTCTTCAACAATACATCTAGGTCCACTTTCTATATTTTAATTCAATTAATTTATAAATAACTTATCTATATGAAAAGAATCTATTTTGTATTTTATTGGCATTTTTCTTATGAAACCTTAGAGCCAAGGATGTTATAAGATTTCTATTTTAATTATAATTACATACTTTTTCCACATAATCGTTAACTTGCATTTTTATTACACAAATTACTAATAAGATCAACTAAATTTTTTGAAAAGAAATTAGGATAATTAATTTGTTTTGACAATATATTCTTAATCATCTCTTATCTAGTTTTAGCAAAAAAAGGAGGAATCCCAGCAACCATTTCATATAATAATATACCTAATTGATAATAATCTAATGTATAATTATGTCCTTTCAATTCTATCATCTCAGGAGCCATATATTCTAAAGATCCACAAAATGAAAAATTCAGATCTTCTTAATTTTCAACAGGTTTACTTAATCCAAAATCTACTAATTTAGGATATCCATCTAAATCAATTAAAATATTCTCTGGTTTTAAATCTCTATAAATTATATTCTTAGAATGAAGATATTGAATGGCATCTACTATTTATATAAATATCCATTTTGCTTAATCTTCACTAAATCTTTTCTGGTTTCTCAAATGATAATATAATTCTCCACCAGGACAATAATCAAAAATAAAGTATAATTTAGATTTCTATTAATTTAATTAAATATTATACAGATTAAAAAGCAGCTTGTAATGTAATTATTCTTTTGTGATTTAATTAAATAAGTATCTATCTTTCTTTAATAATTAATTCTTCCTTATCACTTTCTACCATTAATTATTTGTCTATAACCTTCATAGCATAAAATTATCCATTTTCTTTATTTCTAACTAAATAAACAACAGAAAAACTGCCAGCACCTATCTTTTTTATTATTTCAAACCAATCTATATTCATAGGTTCTTTTAATCCTCTACGTATTTATGGAACAAGAAGGACTCCATTTAAGTTAGGTAGTAATAAGTGTAAACAACTTAATTGATAATCTAAGTGAATATTATTGGTTTTGAATCCAACAATATCAAATGGATCATAGTTTAAATCTAATTAACTAAATTTCCTTATAACTTCTGATAGTAGCCATCCGCAAGTAACATATGGATCTCTGAGCTAAATGCCAATCCATCGATCATTAACAGTTTGAACTCTTATTACGTTGATCACATTTTTATTTGTTAATGATCTGAAAAGTTCTAATTGATGTTCTGAGTTTTCTATATTTTCACTCAATTCTTCATCATTTTGTGTTTTATGAATTGATCTGAATTTTGGTTTAAGAGTTTATATTGAACTTTTTAGAGTTTCTTATAAAGGTATTTCAGTCTGAAACATAAAATAAATTTAGAATAAAAGTATACAAATTAATAAAATGCATATTAATTATATAAATATTAACATATTGTTGTTATAATTAAATCACTAATAAATAGAGGATTGTCCATTTATTAGTGATTTAGTCATATTTAATGAATTAATTAAATTAGTATTATAATAATATCTATGTCCATTAATAATAGAGGTTTATCTAAAGAATTATAAGATCGAATTATTAATGATTTAGGCATAGTGGATTGCAAAGATTTTCATGATGGAACATGCTTGTATGCTTCTATTGTTAGGCTACTTTAATTAATACCAAAATCGTACAAATACTATATTCCAATACATTTAATTCCATTTCTCATCTTCAAAAGGAAGAGAGTGATGTAAAGGTAGAAAATAAGTCAATTTATTAAGACCTGTAAAGACTATTTCAGTGGCAGTTTATAATTATGCTAAATCAGTTTTATTTGTATCTCTTTATGTTGCTATTTGTAAATATGCCTTATGTAAACTTAAAAACATTAGATAAAAAGAAGATGGTAGAATATAATTAATATTGATTAGGTTGGAATCCTGCACTTGGAGCATCAGTTGCTTGTTCAGCACTTTTCTTAGAATCTGAAGGAAGAAGATAAGAAATAGCATTATTTATATTTCCAAAATCATTAGAAACTGCATGGAGATTATTAAAAAAGAGAGGATATGTATCAAATATTAAAGGTTGGGAATTATTCTTATTTGGCCTTGCTATGGGTATCATCAACTATTTCTATCATTATGATGTATAATTTATATTTTATAATAGGATGCAGCAATCAAATCCACTTATTTAACTATATTCAAAAACTTTTGGGGAAAAGATTGATTAAGTTACTAATGTGTATTTGCAAAACATATTAATATATAATATCAATACTAAATTAGATCATATTTTAATAATCCTACCTTCAATTTAAGGATCTATTACTGGACAAACTTCACCACCTATTTTTGTTAATCCTTTAATAATCTTATTATAATGATTAATCTAATGATTTTTTAAATCTAATTATTCAAGTGTCTTAATTTCATTTTCTTATATATCTAATAATTGTAATTCTTCATGAAATCTACAGATATCTAAGACTCTTAAAACTGTTTATAAAATTTAGATTTCTGCATTTTTATCAATAATATATTGATCATCTTATATTTTAATGAATCCATCAAAACCCATTGTAATATAACATTAACTGGCAGCCTTATATATTCTATCCATTTCTAGATCATTTCCATTTATTTTCACATTAACAATTCTAGATCCTTAAGGTTTAGTTGGATCGAATACGAATTAAATACCAGAAACACCTAAAAATCTTCCATCAAAATTTGGCCACTTTCCAACTCTATAATATAGTTTTTATATTATTTACCCATTCTCCAATATTTTGAGTAAGTCTGATCCATTAATATTAATTTTGACTATTTAATCTGGCATAGGGAATATCTTATCTAATTCTTTATAAGTAATAATTCCTTTATGTACAACATCATCAGCTCTAAGAGTACCACTATTAAAAAAAGAGATTTCAGCATCTAATTCATATCTTAAGATATCTGCATAGAGATTAGCTAAATTAGTTTCTTTGTTTCTAACTTCATGAAAAGTACATTCTAAATCACAATTAGCATAGCATACAACTTTTGATTTTTCTATTTAATAATTAATTTAATATTCATACAATTATTATATTCTTCAATTTTCATATCTACATATTATTTCATATCTTAATTTTATGGTATAGAATTAATAATATTTATAATGGAAACTTAAATATGTAGATCTGAATTCAATGTTAAATCTCTTTATAATTCAAAGATTTATTTTTCATTAGATAAATTATCATAAATGAAATTATTGATTAAATCTTTATTTACAATTTCATTTAAACTAATTCTAATGATACCTAAATTCTTAAAATTAGTTCCACTCTTCATAAATAGACTTTATTTAATCTTTTCACAATAAATCATATGATCATGTCCTCCAAGAACTAAATCAATTTTCTATTCAACAAGATGATGAATCAAATTATGATCATTAGGAACTCTCATATGAGTTAACCCTATTATCAATACACATTTTTCTTCTTCTCTTAAATATTTAACAGTTCTCTCTGCACAATGTAAATAATCTTCATAGGCAATTAAATTTTAAGGGATTTCTACTATTTAACCAAGCCATTCTTCTTCAGCCAATCCTAAAAATCCAATTTTTATAGGTTGAATTCCAATAGTACATTATTTTGTAAAATAGGGTAATGTATGAGCAAAGTTTTAATTGGTTTCTGCATTAAAGACATTTGATAAAACCCATGGTATATTTGATCTTTAAAATAATGATTCAACATGATCTAATGTATAATCAAAATCATGATTTCCTGGACATGCAACATCAATTTTAAATTATTAAATTGGAAACAACATTTGATCACCTAAAAAAATAGAACTTATAATATAATACCCCTATATATATTTGATAAAGCAGATGGTGCAAAGATGTCACCACTAAAAAGAGTAAGCGTGTTGAAATTTTTTTACAATTAATTGAGGACATACAAAAATCTAGAGGCACCTCCAACAGGATCTTTGACTTATTCTTGAATATCGTAAACATCATTAAAATGAAGTATATACAAGTCATTATTCAGCATGTTTTAATAAAGAATTAAATTGAAAAATAATCAATAATTAAAATTAATAATTAATTNTATTTTGAGTAAGTCTGATCCATTAATATTAATTTTGACTATTTAATCTGGCATAGGGAATATCTTATCTAATTCTTTATAAGTAATAATTCCTTTATGTACAACATCATCAGCTCTAAGAGTACCACTATTAAAAAAAGAGATTTCAGCATCTAATTCATATCTTAAGATATCTGCATAGAGATTAGCTAAATTAGTTTCTTTGTTTCTAACTTCATGAAAAGTACATTCTAAATCACAATTAGCATAGCATACAACTTTTGATTTTTCTATTTAATAATTAATTTAATATTCATACAATTATTATATTCTTCAATTTTCATATCTACATATTATTTCATATCTTAATTTTATGGTATAGAATTAATAATATTTATAATGGAAACTTAAATATGTAGATCTGAATTCAATGTTAAATCTCTTTATAATTCAAAGATTTATTTTTCATTAGATAAATTATCATAAATGAAATTATTGATTAAATCTTTATTTACAATTTCATTTAAACTAATTCTAATGATACCTAAATTCTTAAAATTAGTTCCACTCTTCATAAATAGACTTTATTTAATCTTTTCACAATAAATCATATGATCATGTCCTCCAAGAACTAAATCAATTTTCTATTCAACAAGATGATGAATCAAATTATGATCATTAGGAACTCTCATATGAGTTAACCCTATTATCAATACACATTTTTCTTCTTCTCTTAAATATTTAACAGTTCTCTCTGCACAATGTAAATAATCTTCATAGGCAATTAAATTTTAAGGGATTTCTACTATTTAACCAAGCCATTCTTCTTCAGCCAATCCTAAAAATCCAATTTTTATAGGTTGAATTCCAATAGTACATTATTTTGTAAAATAGGGTAATGTATGAGCAAAGTTTTAATTGGTTTCTGCATTAAAGACATTTGATAAAACCCATGGTATATTTGATCTTTAAAATAATGATTCAACATGATCTAATGTATAATCAAAATCATGATTTCCTGGACATGCAACATCAATTTTAAATTATTAAATTGGAAACAACATTTGATCACCTAAAAAAATAGAACTTATAATATAATACCCCTATATATATTTGATAAAGCAGATGGTGCAAAGATGTCACCACTAAAAAGAGTAAGCGTGTTGAAATTTTTTTACAATTAATTGAGGACATACAAAAATCTAGAGGCACCTCCAACAGGATCTTTGACTTATTCTTGAATATCGTAAACATCATTAAAATGAAGTATATACAAGTCATTATTCAGCATGTTTTAATAAAGAATTAAATTGAAAAATAATCAATAATTAAAATTAATAATTAATTAATAAAAAAAAAAGGGTTGTCAACACGAGGACTTCCCAAGCGGTCCCCCACCTTAGTACTAACCTCGCCTTAAGCCGCTTAACTTCGGAGTTCGAATGGGATCCGGTGCTTTAGGCTTAGTATGGCCGACAACGATATTTATTGTAATGTTTAGTATTTAAAGGGTTGGTTTTATTATTATTATAATATAAATATTGTTTCATTCAGAATCATATTCTACAAGTTTTACCTTTTTTTATACAGTAGGTTCTGGTATATTATCATCATCATCATCATTTACAAGAGGTTTAAAACTTTTAAGATATGGATTTTTAATTTATTATAAGTTATTTTCTACTTTATCAACATTTTTAGTTTCTTCCTTATTATTTTAATGTTTTAGATCTTCTAAAAATTAAGGAGGTTTAATCTTTAATTTGACTACATTGATAGAACCAATAGAGTAAGATTTATTAGATGTTTATGATTCTTTTTATACAACAATTTAAGGAGTGCTATCAATAGTTAATTCAGATCTTCTTTATTTAAATTATTTAATATGCTCTCTTTCAATTTTTATTTTTCTATTCTCAATTTCTCTTAATTAACCATAATATTAAAAAAAATCAAAATCTTCTTCATTAAATATTTCTTATTTAAATCCACTCTCTTCAACATACTCAAGATTATCTAAAAAATTTGATAATTGATAATACCTTCATCTGTTAATGGTTTTGTCTTCTCATAAATATTAGGTTTGGTTTATTTTTTCCTTTGCATTTTAGTTACTTCTGGTCTAAGTAATTAATCTAGTTTTTCCTATTCAACCATTTATTCTGTAAGAGTCATAAAGGATAACTTTTTTTCTTAAACTTGGATTGTCTAATCACGCTTCACTTCCTAAAATTCTAATCCATCTTTAGATGTCAAAATAGAATGAGAAACAAATTTATTAGTCATAATATATTAAATCAAAATATTTGAAATAATTTATAATCAAAATAATATTCTCATGTGGAATGTACATAATAAGGAAACTTCCAGAAATAATTATTTTATTAAAAATGACACGTCTAGTTGCATTATGTACAATTCTCCTATTGTTAAACTCAACATAAGCTTACTTTACCGATAAATCACATAGAGAATAAGCTCAAGAATTGATTAACAAATTTGTCTATGGATTTACATAAAATTTTGATGCTCTTTCTGCAGAAGGTCTTGATCATATAGGAAACATGAAACTTGCATTTGACTATTGGATAACTAAATTCAAAGTTCATGGTTTCGACTAATTGAATGTAATTCATTTCATTAATAAAAATAGGTCAATTTTGATGTAGATCATGACATATTGGAAATTAATCTACCTACAGTTAATTTAGATATCATTATAGAAGACAAATATACTATTCCTGTAAAAATAGAGAAGTAAATTGAAATATAATGATTTCTAGCTTAAGTGCCTCAATCATATTTGATATTGAACCAACTCGTTTCAGATGTACTGGAGTTGAATTTGATTATGAAAATCTATCTTTGGATGTTAATTTAGTTGTCCAATATTTTAGTAAAATGTTATTGTCACTTGATATGTTGAAAAATGCTATCAAGTAAGCTGAATTACCCATAAGAAATGTTATTGTTTAAACAATAAGAGTATTTTAATTTATTATTAATTTAGAGTAATTATGAAAGACTTTTTTAATTACTCTAAGATTTAAAGACAGGATAATATGATGCAGATGCTCTCTTAGCTAAACTTCCATAAGTTCATCATACAAGAATTGAAAATAGAGAGTTAATCATTAATGTTAGATCCATTTTTGGATATGAATCTTAAAGAGAAAAGGAAAAAAAAGTAGATTTATGAAATAGAGTATATATATATATATAATATGTTATTTATATTTTATCATTATCTAATTTTAAATTTTATCAGATTTTAATTATAAATTTATATATATTATGAGTATTGACTATTCATATTTAGCACCTCCTTTAGGAGCTCATTCAGTATAACACACAGGTACTCAGAACCACTATTCAATACCTAGATTATTATATTAAACATCATGAAAGAGAAAAAGGAGCTCGTAAAATTTACGATTGTGTTCCTTATGATTCTTTTGAACAAGAAAAGATTAAAGAACTCAAATAAGAAATCTAAAAATTAAATATATAGCTTCCATCAGAGTAATTATTTTCTTTTATAAAACAGTTGGAAAGAGAGTGATTATTTAAAAATTGGCTACTCAGGTCGCTTTAAAATGAAAGAAGTTATTAAAGTAAATAATGAAATCATTTTACCTTTAGAAATTGCAATTACATTTAGCTTGGAGAGCTAATCCAATATATCATTAAATTAATCCAGCAACTGAAAAATTTCTCAAAGATGGTATCTGTTATGTATTTGGAAGAGACAAACAATATCGTCCTATTGTTATATTGAATGCACATTTAATTGATTTAAAAAAAGTATAAACAAAACTCAATTTTATATAGTATGATAAAGAAACGATAATTTAGGCATTGTCATTTTAAATGGGAATTATAAAAAAATATATGTTCATTCCTGGTAAAGTTGAAAATTGGATATTTTTATTGGAAAGTAATGGTTTAGGAGTTTTTGGTTTGCCAACAAAAGCATTATAAGTGGTTATTGATACTATGAGCACTAATTTTGGTGGTTGTTTAGAAAAGATGTTCATTTTGAATCCATCAACAGGTTTGAATTTTTTATGGAAAACTATATCTGGATTTTTAGATCCTGAAACTGCAGAAAAAATAAATTTTTTATAAAAGAAAGAATTTATGAAATTACAGTAAATTATTGATTCAAATCAATTAGAATAAAAATATGGTGGTACATAACCAAATTAAACTACATTCTGGTATCTATATCTTATTTAAATAGGCCCCCTTATAATTTAGATTTAATTGATGGAAGAAGTGTTCCTAAATAAAAATAACAAATTGATTAATTTATTCCTTTAAGAAATGATGAAAAATAGATTTAATAAAATGATGATCCTTATGATAATGTTGAAAATAATGTAAATGATTTTTTTGAAAATCAAAAGAGATTGTATAATTTTGATCAAAAGAAGTCAGCTGAATTTGGATAAGTAAATTAAAATAATGATAAAGAAGAGGAATAACCTTAAAAATAAGAATTGAATGATTAAGATTAATAAAAAGAAAATGATTAAATTCATCAATTTCTCGTATAAGATAATTAATAGCAGTAATAAATTGAATAAAATCATAATGACTAAAATCTCTAATCGAATTAACATTAATAAATTGTTGAGGAAAGCAAAGAAGTGGAAAATTAACATTAAGACAATGAATAAAAAGCAGGATAAATTTCTAAATAAGAACCTGAATAAGAAGTTTAGAAATTACCTGAATAGTAAGATGATTAATAATAATAATAATAATAATAATAATAATAATAATAATAATAATAATAATAATAGAATCAAGAGTAAACTCAAAAAGTTGAATCTGATGTTAATAATAAAAATTAACATGAAGAAGAACTTTAAATTGTAAGCAATGCATCTGCAACAAAAATCATATAACCAGAAGAAGTTTAAGGATAAAATATTGAAATAACTTAAGTTGATCCTGTTTCCAATACCGCTTGTTGTAAAAGTTGTGAGATATTCTGAGATAATTTATAATCAAATTTTAATTATTATTTAAAAAATCAAAAATATTGTTGTTGTTAACTTAATTAGATGATTAATATATATTAAAAATTTTCAAGATTTAGATAAATTAGAATTATTAAAAATCAATATAATTAAAAAAAAGACTAAATATATTCATGAATCTTACAGTGAAATTGTTATTTGTATATTAAGATAATATTGAGAAATCAGATGGCTTAATTAAATATGAATTATTGGTTAGTCAATATAATGTTAATGTTTTACAAGTTGTATTATTTAAATGTTGTTAAATAATAATCTAGAAGATAAGATTTTGATAATAATAAATCAATAACACAATAATGATTATCCATAATAGATTGATCAATTCATTCATCCTCATGTAATACCTAAACAAAATATAGTAAATAATTACATGAAATTTCGATTACAGATTAAAATTAAAAGAACCTTGAAGATCATTAATAATCTACAAATAATAATATTTTAGATTCTAAAGTGATGATTATCAAAATAAAGTTAATAAATGATCAAATATTTCAATGAGAATCAATATATATTTTATTTTTTAACTGATAAATTAAATGAACTCAAAACAATAGCATATGACTGTATGTCCAGCTTTACTAAAGGGAGACGATTAGCCAGATGATTTTCCACTCAGAGCTCAAAATAGTAATGTACCAAAAGTAGTGGTTTAAAAAAAGATTATGATTTAACCAAATAATGAAATCTTATATGAGAGGTTGAATTAAGAGGCAGAAATTTTTAAATAGAATAATTAAATGTTAAAAGATTACTATGAATAAGAAGAATTGAGACCTTGTTCATTTGCTCCTTAAACATTAAATGACGGTTAGGAAAAAAGATCACTTTATTAATTTTTATTTGATTAACAGAATCATGTTCTTAAAATAGAATAAAAATTAGAGTAAATCAAATAAAATGAAATTGAAAAAGATTTATAACATCCTTATCATCCAAAAACTAATGACTTTAATTTTTAATCTAGAGATGAATCTATTCCTACTTATGAAAGATTATATAATCTAAACTAAAAGAAACCATCTGAACCAAAAATGTAATAATCAGAATCAACAGTTGATTTCAAACCTGTAATATAATAGAAATCCTCAAATATAGTTAGAAATTAAAAAGTTGAAGATATTCTTTATTAAGATGCATAAAGAAGATAACAAAAATAGAAGGATGCATAGGATAAAAAGAATGCACCTAAAGTTGTAACAGTAAATGTTAAATATACTTCAAATAATAGTGAGAAAATAGTAGCTTAAAAGTTTATTCGAGAATTTGAAACAGTAATAGATTGGATATTTGATTAAACAGGATAAGAAAGACCTTCTAATGTCTCTTTTTCAATTGATTATTTGAAATTAGGAGAAATACTTTAAAGATTAGATTTCCTTAATTAATTATAAGCTAAAGAAAACAATGAAAAAGCAGTTGAATATGAAAATTTAAGATTATCAGAGGAAAGAGCTTTGTTGTGTGAAATATGGACAGTATTAAGAGGTGATGAATTAGGAGGTATTAGTAAAAGAAATCTTTGTTTGTTTTTATTAACATTAATTGGAATTACAGATTTCAAAATAAAAGAATTACCATCTGCTTAGAATGAAGAATTACCAAATTATTAAAAATCTATTTAACCTTAATAACATAAAATTGTTACTGCACATCAACCTAATGATAGACCTAAATTAGGAACTATAGATAAAGATGGAAATATAATATTTACATTTGAAGAAACAAAGAAAATTTAAAAATAATTTGATATTTTATATAGAAATAGATTAGGTTGTGAAGAATTGAAAAAATCAAATTGGAAAGATGAAAATCCTTATAAACCATAAATATTGGCTTAATCAAAATAATTAGCTAATTAATATAGAGAGAAATTATTAGAAGAAACTGCTAATTTAATTGATAATTAATTAATTAAAGTCAATATTCCTGAAAATGGTTAGATTACTCATGCTGATCTATTAGTATTATAAAAGAAAGCTGTAGAATATCATAAGGAATAAAAGAAATAAGAAATATTGTAATAATAATTAGATAAATGTCCATTTAAACCACAATTATTGAATAATTAAAATAATGATGAGAGAAAAAGTACATCAAAAAAATAAGAAAAATATTTATAATTATATTCATTAGCCAAACCATCTACTTAAAAAAGAGATAGAACAACAGAAGAGATTGAATATGAAAAATAATTAGAAGAATGTACATTTTAACCTGGTTTATAAACTAAAAATAACTAATCTATTTAATAAAAATAAGATAATCATTATGTAAATAAAGATGTTGATAAAACTGTTTAAAGAATGAAATAAGCAAGATAAAGAAGAGAGGAAGTATAAGGAATGTTAGAGAGAGGATATAAAAGTAATAAAGGAACTTAAAATTAATAATAATAAGTTTAATCTATTTAATAAAAAAAGGATAGTAGAAGTGAATCATAAAATTAAATTAAATAAACATCTCAATCATCTAGATAGAAGAGTATGTAATCATAAGATTCTTAATAAATGAATACTTTTCAATCTTAGAATTTCCATATGGATGAATCTTAACCAAAAGAAGAATAAAGTATTGTTAGAACTGGTAGCTGTAATATATAAAATATAAATTAATAGAATAAGATGAAAGAATACCATTATTATTTGTCGATGTGAATTTGGGACCAAGTAAAACTGAAAGAATAGTAGTTTATGAAGGAGATTAATCATCTGATTTAGCAGCTAGATTTGCTCATGAACATAGTAAAAATTATTATTAAATTATTAGATTTAGATGAATTTATGTAAGAAAAATTAAAAGAATTGCTTGATTATTAAATAAGTGGATTATTGACAAAAATAGATGAAGAAGAAGGAGCATTAAGTGAAAATGATTAATGATTTATATATATACTAATCATAAAATTTATATAAGAATTCAATTAATCTCTAAGCATATTAATAAAAAAATTGATATATATTAAGATAAATTTATGAAATGAACTAAAGAAACATTTTTAGAGAATATCAGTATCAATATTTATGTTGCTGATTTTTGTATTGATTCAATTCATATCATAAGAATATGATTTTTGGAATAAATATAATAAGATCTTTGATTAGATTCAAGAAAAAGAAAGACAAAAATTAGCAGAATTTTCAAAGAGATTTATTACCATATTTAGGTTTTAAATAGACTTATAATCGATGATAATTATGAATATATCAAATGGTTGATTTTTGAAGAGAATTCAAGTATTCTATATCATCTCCTACAATTTCCATTATCTCCTTAGCACTTTGAGTGGGGAATAATTCTATCAATGTCTAAGCTATTTCTGGTCTTATTCCCAATAATTCGCATAATTCCACAATAATTGGATTGGTGGATTCATTTAAGTGAGCTTCCTAAACTTGTTATGGTTAATGAAACATGCAGAAATTAGGGAATCCAATAGACATCTAATTAGAACGTTCCATCATCTAATCAATTTAGGTTCTTGAAGTATTTTCTTATGGTAAATCTTATTTATCATCCTAATTATTTAAATTATTTAATACAATAGCTGTCACTAGAATTGAAGGAGCCTATTCTGGTTTTCTAATTTTCAACATAGCATGTTTATGTGTGCCTAAATCTTCACATTTTTCACATAAATCAAAGTCTTAGCATATTGGGCACTATATTGTTATTTGTTAAATTTACTTTATATCTGATTCCTAGAATTGGAAACATTTTACATCCATCACACATAATTTTCTCATGTACTATTTTATTAGTTTCTCTGACTTCTACTTAATTTTTGTTCTTAATTGATAATGTTTCTATTTCTTTTTAAATATCATCAGTAGTCATTTATAATTTAACTTACTTAGTAATCTCAGGGATTAGTACCATAACTTGCTGGTTAACTATTTATTTTATATGTTCTTTTCTGTTTCCTCTTTTGTGACATTATTATTCTTTCTTAAATCCTTCATCTTGAACTTCTCGTACATAACTACAATAAGTGAATAAATAATTACAATGTTACTAATTTATTATCCAATTAACATTCCTTTATGGTTTATAAGTCAGAATCACATGTGACATCAATCATATCTCCATCAAGATCTTCATATTGAAGTGTGAACTAATTAGGGAGGTTGTCAATTCTTAAAGGAAGTCTTTTTAGAATTTTTTTAATGTTAAGTTCAGCTAATGGTCTTTTGAAAGTCCATGATTACTTATTACAAATAACTTAAAGCTACATTTTGATTATAAAATATTATTATTATTGTGTTATATTAAATACTGGTATGACTTATATAAATACAAATCAAATTAAAACTTTATTATTAATAATTATTTGTATTTAATAATCTATTGGGAATGTATCCGTACCTGATAATTTAATTTTTACTTATTAAAATTGCTATTAAAATAATAAATTTTATTACTTTAATAAAATATAATCTAACTCCCTTTTCATCCTCAGGATCATTATAAGAAATAATCAATTCATATTTATTTTCTTCATATTCTTCATATGTAAATTTATATGTATTCTTTAAATTCTTTAACTCAACTTTCTAAAATATCTATAAATTTATATACTCTTTCTAAATTGAATTTTGGAATGATAACTTCAATATGTTATTTATTAACTGAGAGAATATATCCATCTACTTCAACTGGATTAGCCTTTAGAAGCAAAGCTAAAAATAACTAAGAATAAATTTATTAGACATACTTAATCACATTAATCACTAACTCTTCTTGAATTTAATTTACAATCATTACAATGTTACATAATAGCTTTTAATTTATCTCTTGTTTCTCCTGTTTGATCAATTTCTTATTATTCAAGAGCAATTTATAATCTTCTATGTACTAAAACATCAGGATATCTTCTTATTGGAGATGTAAAATGTGTATATACATCAAAATCTAAGGCATAATGTCTCCATTCAAATTCAGGAGTATCATCAACAACAAAATATTGAGCTGCTTCCATTAATTTTAAAAGACGGAATCCTAAAATCAATTTAATTTCTTCAGATTCAATTTCATTTACTTTAGCCATAGTTAATTTTAAATTTCTAGATGTTGATACATCCAAATTTTTAGCCATCTCTTCTAATCCACATGCTTCTAATAACTTTCTATAATATTCTAATTTTTCAGCTTTAGGTGATATGTGTTATCTAAGAATAGCTGTTTTACTATCATATTCAATCAATTTTTTTCCAACAAATTAATTAGCCAACAACATCCATTCTTCTACCATAAATTAAGCTAATCCTCTCTTTTCTTCTGTATAACCAGTAGGAAACAAATCTCCATTAAGAATGAATCTTAATTTGCTTTTATCAAATGTTAATGATCCATCCATTCTCTTTTCTCTTCTCTTTTATGCAATAGTATTTAACAATAAAACTTTATCTTTTAATATATTTTCATCAAATCCTTCAGAAACTTTATATCTTGCTTCTCCTTAACTAAACTATTGAATTTCACCATTAATTAATTAATTTACTATATCATAACTTAATTATGCACAACTTTTAATAACTGATTTAGCAGCTCTAAAACTATCCCATAACACATCTCCTTCACTTGTCATCTTAAAGAATACAGAAAATGCTAATCTTTCAACATCCCTATTCAATGAACATAATTCTTCACAAAGAATTCTAGGTAACATGGGAATTACCTTATGAACTAAATAAACAGAAGTTGTTCTTAATATTGCTTCTTTATCTACTTCACTATTGGGAAGAACAAAATGAGAAACATCAGCAATATGTACTCCAATCTCATAAATGCCATTTCCTAAATCATTAATACTCAATGCATCATCCAAATCTCTTGCAGTAACAGGATCTATACTACAAATATATTCTTTAGTCAAATCCATTCTCTTCACTCTTTCATTTGCTATAGAATCATGAGTAAATGCCTTCATTTCTTCTTTACAAATATCTGAAAAATCATTGTCATAAACTGAATTCTCTGTTAATATAGCTTCACATTCTACATCAATATTTCCTTAAACTCCTACTTCTTTAATTAATTCAACAATTGGATATCTACTATTTTTTGCCCATGATAGATACTTTGCTGAAAAATATCTTTATGACACATAATCCATGAATTTCTATACAGGTTCTTAATTATCCAATTCATAATTAAAAGTAAGTAATTGTTTCACATTGAAAAATGGAATTCTTTTATTAACACATTTAAATGAGACATAATAATTCTTTTCAATATAATTTATTAATTCTTCTTTAGTTTTTATTTCTTTCTCTAATAATCCATGTTTTTCATCAAAACATATCTTTCCAATCATCTATCTATTTTCTAATGGATTTTTTCTAATTCCCACAATCTTACCTACAAGTTGAGCCTTTTATAATTTTTAAATCTTTGTTAATGGGACCTTCTTTTTAACAACATAGAGATCTGATACTTCTGAAATATCATCCTCTTCTTCATCTTGGCTATTAACATCCTCCCAATCATCATCATTCTCTTCACTTTCACGTATCTTTTACTATGTTTCTTCCTGTTTTTGTTCTTTTGTTTTCTTTACTGGTATTTATTCAGTTATTATCTCTTCTTCAAAATCATCATCTGATTCATCTTTACCTTTTTATATTTTTGTAATTTTGAATGCAACTAGAGATCCATGTAATGCTCTATTTATTTCAACAAAGGCTAATATTTAGTATAAAAATCTTACAATTAATATGTACTTTCTTCTTAAAAATAGGACATTTAATAGTACCCTTTTCTCTTGTATATTCATTGGCTATGAAGATTCCTTCAAAAATTTCATTTTCTGCTTTTCCTTTTTCAATTTATTATTCAGTCCAATATTATTCAAAATCTTAATTCTTCTTATTTTTTTTATTGTTTTTTCCACCTTTATAATATTTCTTATTATTATTATTATTATTATTATTATTTCTTTTATCATTTTTATCTTAATAACCATATTCATTAAGTCCATAATCATCATTATCTCTTCTTTATTATCTTTATCTTTAATTTTTCTCTTCTTTTTTTATATAATAATCATCATCTAATGAGCTGCTATCATCTAATCTATTATAATCATCATTAAAATGATTATATTTATAATAATTGAATTTTTTTTAATTAAATTACTTATTCTAATCTGATTATGTTGATTTAATATGTTTTTCTGCTCTTCTGTTCCTTCTTACTTACTTATAGTGAACATGTTCATTTAATTAGTTATTTTTTTTAGTATTGTTAATTCTTTTTGTTTAATTATTTTATTAGTTATTATTATTATTAGTGGTATTTTATCTATTTTATTAATTATTAAAATTATTTCTCATTTCTTTGTTATTATGATTATCATTCACTATCCTATTATCATGATTTTCTTATCCTTATATATATGGATAAACAAATGGTTAATTATTATTTTGAGACTAAGTTTTTTTTTAATTAGTAGTACCTTATTTTTCATTTTATCTATTTCTAGTGTGTTATTATTTATTTTATTACCCTTAATTTTTTTAGTTGTATTATTTATTATTGTTACTTTCTTAAAAATTATTACTTTATTAATTTTTTTCTTTATTATCACCCTATTCTCTTTATTCATTTTATCTTTATTTTTATTTTTATTATCCTTATTATTGGTTTTGTTTTAGTTATTATTTCTCTTATTGATTATCTTATTATTTTTAAATATCTTATCGTATTTATCCACGAGCTTCAAATTTATCTTTTACTTAATATATGTATTTTTCATTCGCCTTTCCTTATTTATTCTATTCTTTAGGAACATATTGGATATTGTTTTATTCACAATAGTCCTTTCTTAAACTTTCTTCCACTAGATGTCTATCTTTTTTCTTAAAATAATAAATGACAATACCTTGACTACTGCCTTCATGGCCTGCATCTAATTTTTCACATAATCATCTTCTAAGTTCATTTTTTTTTATTATTTAATTAAAGAATTATTATTTTTATTGTCAACTATTAATTAATAAACTTAAAATTGCTAATTTAAATAAATTATTTATAATCAAATGGACAGAAATTAAGTATAATTTTTTTTATTTTCTTTAATAATTTCCAATCAATAATTATGAAACTTAAATACAACATTATTAAAAAATAATTGATTATTATAATCTTAATATAGCAGTAAAAAAAATAAATCAAAAATTATAGTGCTTTTAACTAATAATCTATTTAAATTCTATATATATTATTAAATATATTATAATATTTAATCATAAAATAATTGATTAATAAATAACAAAAATTAATAACTTGTATATTATAGTATATCATTGATGATGTTTATTTTTCTTAATTGATGGACATTTGTCTGGCTATCCAATTTTGACCATCCTAATATTTGACAATTAGATAAGATATGATCCATCTAATTAAGGATCAAATGAATAAAGATTAAACTCAGCTGTAGTTGGAATATAATTTTATTTAGTAAATTCTAATCTCATTTCATTTTAAATTTAACTATTCAATATATATATAGATAAATACCTTTTTAAGATTTAATGTTTTATAACAAAGAGACCATCTTTGTCACTCTTTGTTTCAATTTTAAGATCTGCATAAGAAATTCCATTCCATTATTTAAGTTTAATATTGACTTCTTCTAATCCTTTCCATTCTAATTTTGAATTGCAATCAAATTCAGCAATTACTGCACCATTAATAATAGAATATTGATAATATTTAGTAAGTTATGCTTTGAATTGTTCTGTTACTTGAGCTTAATTTGTAATCTTAACAACATCACTGTTGGGATTTATTTTGAATCTACTATTTGTTTATTAAAATTTTGCAGTTTCATGTGAAATAAGTAAGCAATCAACATTAGAATTAGCATTCATTAACATCTTCCATTTGAATTAATATGCTCCTGTAGAATCTGTATTTGTTTTAAGATCAATAGGTACTTTATTTTCACCAAAAGCATCACACTATAAACTCACTGGAACATTAGATGGGAATATACCTCCCTCAGATGTTATTTTACCATCAATTTCAAATGGAACAAAATCATCGTAATACTATTTTGGGAAATTCATTTCAGATTTCTCATTATTTGTTTAAAAGGCTTATGTAACTTTATGATTTTATCCACTTGCATCATTAAAAGATTCAGTCAATTAATATTTGGTTTCAAATTGTAATTAATCATCTAATATAGACCATTTACCATCTGATCCAGTTTTAGCTTCTAATTCT